GCCAATTGTATTATTCCACATGGCTCCTGCTCATTTGCTTTACACTTAAAAATATCTTAGATACAGTATTCACATTAGTGAAGGTAGTTGGATATGGATTTTCACAACAATTTGTCATGATTCGAGACTCGGGTTAGCATTTATAATTTGGCACTCTTTTCTCAATATGAATGTTTACTAATTTTAATTTAAATTCTATGAAAATCCTGAAGACAGTTTACTGGGCATTATAAGCCAACCATGTTCATTCATTACTTCCAGGGCATTCAGGCAAGGTGATAAAAGGATTGCTTTGACTTCTTTCCTATTCAGGATTAGTGAATTTAATGAAGCTCTTTAAGTATCATATTGCCATTCATTAAAATTATTATGGGAAAAAAGTTATAGAGATTATATTTGAGGAAAGGCTGCACACATACATTAGAGTTTTACAAGAGGGTTTGTAAAAACATTGTTCAAAGTATACAATGCTTAATTTTTCGCCCTATTAACAAGTCACAATTCTGACTTAAAGACTTTTTGGATAAGCAAGAAATCAGTCTGGGACAAAATTTTTAAAAACTCTTATTTACTCCAGAAGTCTGGAGATAGTATTCACAAGTAGCAATATTAAAGGCAAATTAATGACTTAAGGTAACTGACTTGCTCATTCTGTTAGGCTATATTCATCTAGAACTTAGCTGCAGGAGCAAAAATTTGTCTTAGAACGTGGTTTAGACTATCACCATATGATAAATCAATTTATCAGGAAGTTTGGTATTATAAAAATGTCAAATACATTCCCTTTTAGCTTTTGATCACAAATGAGTATGCACATTTGCATCACTTTCGGGCATTGGCAGATGCAAACCGACTTTGAGACAATTGTTATAGTTAAGTTCTTAGCATTCATAATAGATTGATAAACTCCGAGCAATTATTCTAGTGGATCAAATACAAGTTTAGCTATTTAATGCTTTTAAAAAGCAGGAAAAGGTTATTTTATTGAATAATATAATACGGTATTATGTTGGTATAAATAAAAATGTCTAAATTGTTAGAAGAGAAGTTAAACATATGTGAACTATGTAGATCCTGATCTTTTAAAAAAATACTATTCACTTAAGGTATAAAGATTATGTCAAATTATCAATAAAATTTTATTACAAAAATAGAAGAAAAAAAGTTAAAAAATACCTTAACTAAATGAAACGTCACACCATAGTCAGGTAGTAGACGGGCCTTCTCCAAATATATTTTTTCTGCAGCGGCAGGGTAAAGATTCCTATTCCTATTAAACAGTAAAAATACTCAGTAAAGTTTTACAGCACTATTACAAATTGTTATACCAACCTGAGCTCCTTATATTGATTTAAAACTAGTTGTTCAAATACTTCAGTTTGCTGTTCTTCTGGGACAAAACGAAACGTAGATGTAAACGCGGGAGTGTGCTGACGCGAAACATAATCGCCAAATTCACCTATAAAATATACAGAGTAAGTCTCATTGCGTTAATACATTGCTTAAAAAATCAACAATAAATGGAGGAAAAATTATGAGTTTTGATTAGGTGTATTAACTAACTTTGAAGTAATAAAGCAGCAAGTTGAGACCCAACATTTTCATCAACCTTTAATTTGCCAGTTGAAATTATATCGCGCAAGTGAAGTACTAAAAGATATCGTGCATATTCATCTCGCATATTGTGAGGGTCAGATGAAAAGAATTTTACCCTCATTTTAAATTTAAAAGGAGGGCCAACTAAAGAAACCATGAAAATGACTTAATATACCATGGCATTGTTTTCTAATTTCTTTGGTTGGGTCAAGCCAAAGCTATATTGTCTAAATAAGTGTGTAGTTGAATTAACCTACTTGTATGCCTTCATCAAATTCCAAGCCAAAATAATCTTGTTCATCGTTAAGACCAATAAATGCAAAATTCAAATCCAAAAGCTCGGAACCCAATGATTTTTTCTAAGAAAAACTAAGATAAATGACAACAGACAGAGGGATGAAAAGTTTCTTCAGATCCATCAAGAAAAATAATTTTGCAATCAAGATCTGACTTATTCTTCTTTTTATTAGCTAAGGATATAGAAAACAGCTCTTGTGCATGACTATGAGCTGGTACTTCTTCTTTTTTTCTCCACCGTTTAGTAAAAAATCGAAAAAATGATGCCATGGTATAAGTCTCTATACTCAATGGATAAATGCGTAACCTTGTTTAAAATATGCTGGCATTTCAAGGTTAAGATTTTGATTCGACTAAATAATATATATCTGTTGCATTTATACTAATAATTTATTATACTTTGTTGATAAAAGATTGATGTATTAATATTAAAAATTATTTAAACTTAAAATTGTAATTGTTTGGCTAGTTAGTAATAAGCGTATAAGTTACAATTAGATCATGAATACTACTAATATATTTTTATGCTTGCTTTAATTTAAATAACTACAGGTGACCATGTGACATAGTTAATATATATGAATCTCAAAAAAGTCTAATGTCTTGGAGTGAGACAGGTATTTTATGCTTACTTATTAATATTCTATTATCTAAATCCTAGCATATCTTAGCTAAGTTACAGAGCAATATTGATAACACTATTTGT